TATGAAACGTAGTATTCATCGTGGTATGTGTGTAACGGGCTCGTTTAGGTGGTTCTTATATCGTTTGTCTCATGATAGTCACCTGCATGGTTATTGATCGCGACCTTTCGACGGCGTTTAATACTGCAGGCCTTTATCAGGCGATAGTGTCGATTTAATGAGTGGGACTATTAGCACCACCGAAGTTGCTAGTGATTGATGTATCACGAACCACCAACTTTTTTGTAGTTATAGATTTTACTTTAGGTAACCATGAGCTTTGATATGGGTCTTCTTTCTAGGTCTCTGTAACTTATAAAGGGATCTGCAGTTATATAGTATATCATATTAATTATTTTTGTTGCTCAGTCCTCTTAAAGATTTGTATTATGATCACGATTCTGCTGACGCTGATAAAAAGGAAGATGAAGCGGCCAAAAAGAAAGCAAACAGACCAAGTAAGTACACACCTCCACTGACAGACCTGATAACTTGCTCTTTTCTGTCCTTACGTGTGTAATAGACCTTACTCACGATACCCGCCATGTTTGCACGCGCTCAAGGACTGATGGGATAAAAGCAGTGTTACATGGTTTCTCAGGGGGCACACAAGAAAAAAATTGCCAATGGAAGAAATCGCGGTTGAGTTTGTTTATTCTAGACAACAGGAAGTGAAGACCTTTTCATCTTAAAGACGATAATGTCAAAATATGGGGGGAAGTGATCATTGTGGCTTTTTTGTATGTAGTATAGCGACGGTAGATGACCTCATGGCAAACAGTAATGATGTAAATCTTGCCAAAACTTGATACTATGAAATCGTCGTCTCGTTTTGATAGCATAAACAAACTCGACCGCGAGAAAACTCGAACGCCACTATCTTAATTCGTAAGCTGGCTGAAATGAATGAGTACAAGTCTTTCGGCTTTTCCTGTTTGTTCCTGTTTGTTCGTTGAAGTGATCATGCTTTTTGGTCATCTAAATGCTTTGCTGATTATGCATAATAGCGAGATTTTTTTTAGTTTCCTCTGCTTTTACTCGAAGTTAACTCTGTCCTGCTATTCCAATCTTGCTATTTAGAATACGTGAAGCGTGTGATTGTACACCCGGCATTTAAGAACATTTCATTCAAGGAAGCTGAGAGACTCTTAGCTGAAATGGACCAAGGAGAATGTATTGTGAGACCCAGCAGCAAGGTAACCATGACAATCAGTCAATGATATGTAACGATTTCCACGCACGTTCACGGGGAACCACACAGTTTTTCTCGCTTGTGTCGCTATTGCGTTGGACTGGCTTGAGGTTGAGTCGCAACGCACTAATGGGCGTAGCGGCAAAAAGAACCTGCAGGCCAGGGCCTATTGTTACCCTGTTTAACATTGCACATTGATAAGATTGGGAACTGGTGCCTTAAGAGGTGCTAGGGTAGGACTAAATATAACCTAGAGATAGTATCCATAACAACCCCGCATGCGAGAACCACACAAGCCACTCTTCGGTGCTTCAGTACCGCAGGTTCCCGCCTACCGGGTCACATGGAACTTTCGACACAAATTGCCCCCTTTTGTTACCCTGTTATCATTCAACGTAAAATTCTAGAATTCTTGGCTTATTTACATCAATTAACTTAAACAGCGAGATGTGGGTAACTATAGAATAACTAAGCAACGGCCTCTTGCTTAGCTCGCGCGTTCGTACGTTTTGCTAAACGCGGTGAATAGCACTTAAATACGCTTCAGTTGAAGAGACTTTCTTAGTGGTGTAAAGTGGAAACCGCAGTATTAGCTGGTTATGGCAGGGTCTTGCTATCATTTATCCAATATACTTGTTTTTCTTTCCTTCAGGGTGCCGATCACCTGACCGTCACGTGGAAGGTTGATGAAGGAGTTTACCAGCATGTGGATGTGCGAGAGGAAGGCAAAGAGAACGCTTTTAGCCTTGGTCGGTCACTTTGGATTGACAGTGAGGTGTACGCTTTGTTGCGCTAAAAATCGTCGTTGCGAATCGTCCCGTGTAACATCACCTTTGAGACCCTGACTATTGGTCCTGTCCCAGGAATCAAACCCGTGACCTTTCATTCTACCGTCAAGCTCTCTACACACTGAACTAATCCTGCCACGTCCAACTGGTAGAAGGTTGGCTCTGTACGGCTTTGAGAAATCTCGCAGAATTGTAAATTTTGGGCTGAGTGTGAACTCGAGTGATTTGTTTTTGTTCTACGTGTAGGTGTGGACACATCTTGATAATGGAAGCTGTGCTGGGCAGGCGATTGGGGTTCGCACAAGAATGGAGAATGGTCTGTCGGGATTTATCGCTACTAAGATGATAAGCGATAAGCATATAACCACCCCTCATGAAAGAGTTAAGGTAACCTAAGTTACGTGATTTCCTAGAAGCAATTCTTGAATAAGAAGAGTATTGAAATTTATTCTGCGAGCAAGCTCTCCATTTCGAGTGGCGAGAGAACGTGCGAGCAAGCGAGCGAGCGGCGTAGCCACGAGGGGGCCAGCTCTCGCGTCTCCTTTTGCGTGGTGCTCTTGCGTGACCTCTCGCGGTATCCCCCAAAGCTTCCTCGCAGTTTATCTAATTACACATGTCTACTGTTTCGCCTGATTTTGTTCTTTGGAACTCGATCTGAGAACGTGCTAGAGTCACGGAATCTTATT